GTTACCTAGAGGGAGCCAAGACTACAGTCTATACTGACCACTGCAGTCTCAAATACCTGAAGTCGCAGCCAACGCTCTCACGACGACAGGTGCGGTGGGTGGACTTCTTGGAAACACACTTCCACTACGACATCGTCTACAAGCCCGGGCTACACAACAAGGCAGACGCGATGAGCCGCCCCGGACATGTAGCAGGCATCCAGCTCGACGGGATGAACCCTCTGCTCAAGGGTCTATTCCAACATGGGTACTCTGTGGACGCAGAGATCACTACAGCACAGACTAAGAAGCTGTCACAGTGGAAGAAAGACTTAGCTGTAAGGAAAGTTTCAGGAAAGATTTGGGTACCGAATTACGCCCCGCTACGGCAGATCTTATTGGAGGAGTTTCATGACGTACCTTACGCGGGACATTTTGGGAGCAACAAGACGTTAGCAGGGATAGCGAAGTATTACTACTGGCCCGGGATGGCAGCAGACGTGCAGCAGTTCGTCACCTCATGCGACACGTGCCAGCGGATGAAGAGTAGCAAGCAGAAGAAAGCAGGCTTACTTCAGCCTCTAGCCGTACCGGAGCTGCCATGGCAGGTCGTTAGCCTCGACTTCATCACGGGACTTCCCTCGACCTCACGGGAACATGATTCCATCCTCGTAGTGATCGATAAGTTCTCCAAAATGGGTCACTTCATCCCGACCAACGCCACAGCTACAGCAGAAGCAACTGCTTGCCTCTTCTTTGACCGCATCATCACCATCCACGGCATCCCCGCTACACTCATATCAGACAGAGACCCCAAATTCACGAGTAAGTTCTGGAAGGAGCTCAAGGGATTATTGGGGACCAAACTTGCGATGTCCTCAGCATACCACCCACAGACTGACGGACAGACGGAGCGACTCAATCAAGTGGTTGGACAGTTACTGCGCACAGCTTGCAAAGATGACGTCAGCCACTGGGACACACGCAACAACAACGCGTCACATGCGGCCACAGGGAAAACTCCTTTCTTCCTGTGTTACGGACGGGAACCACTCACACCATAGCAGCCAACCACACCGGCACATGTCCAAGCCGGACACGACTTCGTCACCACCATGCAGCAGCTCTGGGAGAAGACTCAGCGTCGTCTCACCACGATGCAGACCTCCCAGAAGCAGTATGCCGATCGCCAGCGACGAAATCACTCAGTAGCAGTCGGAGATCAGGTGCTTCTTGACACACGCAACTTGAACCTGTCTCACCTCCCATCCAAACTCCGGCCTCGCTTCTGTGGTCCATTTCTCGTGGAGGCACAGGTGACACCAGTTACATTCCGCTTGCGCTTACCAGATACATGGAAGCTTCACAACGCTTTCCATGTTCAGCTACTGAAACCCTACAAGGACCCCAACCAACAGTTCCAGGAACGGCAGCTACCGCCACCACCACCTGTTCTCATACAGGATGAACCAGAGTACGAAGTGGAGCGCGTTCTCACTCATCGGCACTGCGGCGGCAAGACCCTCGAGTTCCTGATACGCTGGACGGGATACGACCCCACTGAGGACAGTTGGGTTGCAGAAGCTGATATGGGCAACGCACGCCGTGCTCTCAAGGACTATCTTGTCAAGCAGGGTGTATCTCACGCCACCCAGCTTTGAGGGTGGGACGTGTGAGAGTACGACGGCTTATGCTGGCTTTGCTAGCTTGCCTAGACTTTATTATGCTATTACTAGCTTGGGTTTTATTTATCATGCATAGATATGCTTGATTTCCTAGGTTAGGTGCATTCCTATCTTTTATTATAGTTATAGCACCGAACTAGGTTACGTGTACCAAACTCAAGCCTATTCGGTTTCCATCGAATTGCTTTCTACCGAGTTCGGGAAGGTTCTGTTCGGGACGCTTTGCGACCCTCAGAACATTCGCGTAACACCTGGGTTACCTGCCTTGTGTCGAGACTATATATAGCCTCGTGTTGTACCCAAGTGATCATTCAATTCAAACTCTCTTTTCTGAGCTCGATCCTAGATCCTCACAACACCCCTTTCACACACCCCTTGCTGCACCCCTAGCTCCACTCCCACGATACCCCCCTAGCGCCACTCCCTCGGCTCCCACATAGCCCACCCCCCTCAGTGGCAGCTGCAGAAGTGGGAGACGGAGGAGGAGGAGGAGCAGGGGACGGCTCACACACCCGCCACCCCCATACCCGCCACCCCCATACCCAAACGCAGGCGGCGCGGGGCAGATACGCGGGCAGCAGCTGGGGCGGCGTGCGAGCGGAAGCGGGGCGGCGCGCGGGTCCCTGGGGCGCTACGACGGGCGACGGGTAGGGCGGCGCGCAGGCCCCCAGGGCGCCGCGACGGGCGACAGGAGGGGGGGCGACGTGCGGGCCCCCAGGGCGCCGCGGCGGGCGACGGGCAGGGCGGCGCGCGGGCCCCCGGGTTGCTTCGACGGGCGACGGGAGGGGGGGCGACGGGCGGGCCCCCAGGGCGCCGCGACGGGCGACGGGTAGGGCGGCGCGCGGGCCCCCGGGGCGCCGCGACGAGCGACGGGAGGGGGGCGACGCGCGGGCCCCCGGGTCGCCGCGACGGGCGACGGGAGGGGACAGCGCGCGGGCCCCCAAGGAGCCCAGAGCGCGTGGCGGGCAGAAAACCGCCGCGCGCCCCGAGTGCGCGGCGGGAAGAAAAAACGTCGCGCGCGCCAGGCGCGCGGTTGGGAGAGAAGCAGCGGAAGCAACAGGGTGGGCCCATCCACAGGATCGACCCGCGAGGGTCGACCTGCTCTGATACCATGTCAAGATAGCAAGCAGGAATGAACTGCAGAAGAGAGGTTGCACTAGCAGCAGATAGGATACATATAGCAAACTCTAATTTGAGCTGTACTCACTATAGAGTACCCTACCGCAGACTAGACAATTATATCATTCTGACACTGATATGTCCCTGGCAGGGCTAGTTTTTGGTTTTCAGCAACCCTTATCATCAGTCCTGCACCTTTGCAAAACTCTGATAATCTGTGTGACCCCTTAGGAAAATTCTTTTCCATCAGGGTTTTCCTTAGTTTCAAAAAATTGACTCTTTGGCCACAGTGTAACAATTTTCAGAACCTTGATGAATTGTTTCTACTGAAGTTCTGAACAAAACGACCAGCTTCAGGATTCGATCCCGGGTCTTCATCCTTCCCAAGACAACTGACCAGACCACTTCAACGAGAATATTCCAATGACATAATTTCATAGTGAAGATTGCTAATTAGGGGAACACAGGTGAGAGGACGTAAAACTCGGTAAGAAGAACGGCAACCCTGGGGCGACAGTGTGCCTTAAACGTAAACCCTGGCATGTCAGGAAAATCTAAGCTCGAGACAAAAATTACCCTAAGGCATCAGTGTGAGTACCAAAAATCACCCTGATTATCAGTGTATCAGGGTGATTTACACTGATAAAATTAGGCCTCAATGGGTCCTATATAGGGGATATTATGGTACCAGTTGGGGTTGCGGTCACGGCTAACTTTAGTGCCAGGGCCTGTCTGACAGTAAGACCGGGTCCTGGGTCCTTGTCTGATGGTCAGACAAAAGTCGTAGCCTAGTCTTACGTTTCAGACGAATAAAAAGCACTTGTCAGAGCCTTCAGACGGGGTTAGATAGTTAATCATATTGCAAGCAGATTTCCTAGCCTACGTAGTTCCTATACTAAAGGTAATCTAACGACATCTTTTCCTAAGAAGAATCACTTGCACTACTGCTGTCACTGTCATCACTACCACTGCCACTGTCACCACTACCACTGCCACTGTCACCACTACCACTGCCACTCTCAGAGGTTTCAACAACTGTGGCTCTGGATTTGCCCTTCCTCCAAGTAGGCAGCTCCCACGCAGCTTCTTCTGCAGCCCTCTCTCTCTCCTTTGATGCAGCCTCTTCTGCCTCTTTCCGTGCGCGTGTAGCTGCTTCTGCTGCTGCTGATGCTGCATCGCGCTTCTTCAGGTGATGGGACCGCCGTCGCTTCACCGGGCGTGATCCTTCAGCCATGACCACCTCTCGAGCCGGCCGCCTCTTCTTGCTGCCATACCACCTGTCCACAAGCTCCTCTGTGTCCAGCTCGTAATCCAAAAGGGACACCGTCATCAGGTCGCCCAGTGTCGTGTCGCACAAGCTGCCCCGCACCCAGCTTTTGATGATGTTCTGGCGGCTGAAGCCGCGCTCACACTCAACAGTGCTGAGTGGTAGCACAGCAACAGCTATCCACAGGCGGCCGAGGTTCGGATAGGCTGACTCCCATTCCGGCGTTGAGAGCATCTGCGACAGGCTGTCGTGGAAGGACAGGTCTTCGTGGTGATGGGAGAGGATTGTCGTGAAGCTGGTGAGCTCCTTGGCGGCTTTGCCCCAGTCAACACCTGATGGTGAGGGGTAGGGTAGGGTGTGGGACATTGGATATCACAGCAGAGAGTCAATTCTTGGCACGGCAGCAATAACGGAACAAGTAAAAACGCAGGTTTAAAAACAAACCGCTTACCGGGGAGGGTGTCTGGATGGTTGGGCTTCTTCTTGAACAGGTTGCGCAGCGACTCGAGCCATTCGGGAAAACGACGCGCTCTCTTAGCGCGCGAACAAGGGTACCGTCCCTGCCGAAACAGACGGGCCCCGTCCAACGACTTGAGACTCTTCATGCGATCCTCAATGAAGAACACAGTCCTCCCAGCGAACTTAGATGCTGCCTCCACGCACGACGCCAGGTCGCCCCCAAACTTCTCCTTCCCGATTAGGTCCTCGTGCAGCAAGTAGGTGTGAGTCACGGGTTCTCCCGCGCTGTCGATGCTTTCGACCTTCACTTCGCGTTGCTCAGTGCTCCCGTGGTTCTTCAAGAACGTCGCAAGGCGACCACTGTTGTCGCCGAAGGTGGAGCCGTACTCCACATAGCGACTTGTCAAGATCAACGTGGTGTGCGGCACCATCGGCCGAACCTGCGTCGCATCAAGCTGCACATATTAAACAGAAACAGAATTAGTCTCGGCTCACGGAAAGAAAGGATGCAAGGTGTAACTCCACGTCCTTACCTGTCGTCGCTGGAACTTGAGATTCAGGGTGTTCAGCTCCTGAAGCACGTCAACCAGAAAGACGAGGAAAAACTGAAACTTCAGACTGGTAACAAGAGTGTAAGTTGTCTTGTCGTACTCATGCAGCAGAACAACGGCAGCAGGCAGGACGTCTGCAAAGCGCTGGATGGCGTCCCCGCGCGACAGCCAGCGGACGTCCTTAATGCCTTGCATCTCCAGGTTGGTCTCTGTGATGACCTCCTGCAGCTTCTTGAATCGCGCATGCTGCACTATGCTGCGGCCGAGAATGTCCGCGAAAGACCGGACGACTTTGTCGACGACATTGAACTCGGGGAATTCTTCAGCAGCATCCTTAGCAGCCAGAGCCTCCCTGCAGTTATAACACAAGTAGGATTAGTCGGAGGACAGCAAGTGTCAGATACATCACAACAGTAAAAACAACACACTACCTGTGGGCCACGCAGTGGCACGGAACAATATGCGGCACCCGCGTTCGTAAGCGCGCCACCAAGCCTGTCTGACCGCCCGTCATCACGCTCGCGCCGTCCGTGGTCATGCCACTGATCCTTGTCAGTTCGAGGCCGCAAGCAGCAAGGTGTGTCAAAAGGACCGCCTCAAGCGACCCGGCGTCGCACTTCTCAACGGACAAGTTCGCGAAGAATTCGGTAACCACCACCGTGCCACGGAGAAACGTGGCATACACAATCATGTGTTTGCCACGCCTTCGGTCGGTGCTTTCATCAAGTTGGAGGCCAACGAAGGGACTGATGCTGATGTGCTGCATCTGCTTCGCCTTCAAGTAGCACACCAGCGTTTCGATCAACTGCTTGAAACCATACCTGCGTCAACGACGACACAAAAGAAATGGTAAGTAAGGGGTATTCAGAAACCACAGTGATGTGAACATATAAACTCACGTTGAACAATAAGTCCCTTGGTCCTTGGCCAGCATACCTGGGGTCCCCATCTCTGCCATGAACTGCACGAGTGTCATGAACATGACAATAGGGGTGTCGGATATGCAAAGGAAACGCACGGTGAGAAACAGCTTTATCAAACGCCGAGTTTCCGCACTCTTATCTCCAAAGTTGGAGATAGATGCCTGCTTCTTCTGCGGGCCTTCACGCTGCTCCAATCGGTCCTTCGCCTCCCGGTGCCGGATGCTCCACTGATGCTTCCTCATCGTCTGCTTCTGTACGTCGATGCCTCCCTCGCCCCGAGCGCCGAACTGTGACTCAGGATCTGCGTACACCATGCAGATCTTGCACCTCATGCAAGGTCGACCTTCGGCGGTGTCACCGATGATGAGCCAAGGGAAGTGGCGGCTCCACTGCTGCTTGGCTTTTAGCTGCAGCTCCTCTATCGACAGAATCTTCGGTCCGGCATTCTCGGCTCCGCGGCGCTCCCCTCCATCTTCCTTAGTTGTGGGATTCCCTGCAGAGGAAGGGCTTGGGCGTTTCGAAAACGGAAGCTTATTTTGCACAAATTTGGTCTTGCCAGTAAACCGCGGCGGGAGAAAAGGGGAGCGGGTTTGGAAGGGATTTTTTCTAGCAGGAACAGATGATGCGACAGGTTGACCGGATGGCGAACCCCCATGGTGGCTTGATGTGGTTGGTGATCGCACGGGTGAAAATGGTATGAGCTGCTCGGCATCCATCTCAGCGAAAGGGTACGGCTGCTCGGGAGAATCGAGTTTCTCATTCTGACAGGCCGAAGGAGCAACAGCAGCAGCTGGGACTGGAGTAGGGGTGAAACCCCCCCCCGTAAGGAAATCCAAGCCAGTGCGTGAGCGGGGCAACGCACTGGAAGGAGGTGAAGCATGCAGAGTGGATGCTGGAGGGGCCTCTGTGCGGGGGTCTACTGCCATCTCGGTGGAACTACGCACCGACTGGCTCTGGCTCACGAGGGTAAGATGAAGGAACCCTAATGCTGTGGGGAGTGAGGGGGACCCGTCCGAACCGAGCCGCATGCATGAACGTCCTCTTCTCTGCTGGAAGCAGCCACGCCATCCATCCCTCGCTGACCCGACGCGCACTGAGGGCTGTCGGTGTTGCAAATGCAGCCTTCTGCCGTGCGCTGGCACGAATATGCCAAACGAATTGGCAAGATTCGTGCCAGCGGGGTGACTGCGGCGCAGTGACGTGCGGTGGACCGGTGGTGTTGTCACCGACCTCGGCAATGTACAGCCTGGCGGTGGCCAGGTGGGGGCATTTGTCTGTTTCAGACGAAAAAAAACTCGATGTCTGCAGTCTCAGACGAATCGTATAAGGCTGTCTGACAAATCAGACGAATAAAAAAACTTTCTCTTAAAAATCAGATGACATAAAATAGCTTGTCTACGGCATCAGACGAACCAGTAAAAAGGTGTTCAAATTCCAGAAATTCAGACACATAATTTCTGATAAAGTGAGCCCTGGTTGCGGTGACAAATCTGGACACGGAGGGGGGGGAGGGGCGGCAGATTGGGTGCTCGTGGCAAAATGAAATGGAGCTGCTGGTATTGTGAGATGGTTCTTGTGTCACAGGAAACCCGAAGGATAAAAGCCCCAGAATTGCAACCAAGATGGCTAGGTGCGGAGCAACAAGAAAAACAGCGCGAACATGGTTGCAGATTCGTTTGACGACACCCCGAAAGGCAAAGGTGGTGCTGAGATGAGATGGAAAAAGGAGCTCGATACGAGCCAGCTCTTCCACGTTGGAGATGAAGGGGAGCAAGAAGACGGTCATGCTAAGGATGGAGCAGAGCTGCACCTGAGTTTTTTTTTTTTATTGAGACCTTAGGGTGCTTGATAGATCTATCCGGGGGATGACGATATTTGTACGGTACTTAGCCTTAAGTTTGGTACTAAGCATATCACACAGGGTAAACTATCCGTGTAACCCCTTTATCTAGGTGCAGACGGCAGAGAGACAGCGGCCTGTCCAGGCTTTCAGCACACTCACACGGCACGCGCTGGCCCTCCTGTGCGCCATTGGGAGCGGCACCCGTGGGTGGCAGCAGTGTGAGTGTGACGTGGGGGACGCGCTCGAACATGAGCATCACATGCACCTCCCTGCGCGCCGTACCCCCCCATGCCACCTCCACCACCCGCCTGCCCCCGCTCCCACCACCCGCCCCGCCTTGCTGCTGCTCGCCTCCCCCCTCTTGCTGCTCTCCTCTCAAGCGCAGCACACCCACTTCAAGCCCCTGCAGAGCACCGTCTCCCATCCCCAGCAGTCTCCTCGCTCTTCTCATTCTCACGTCTCCCTCGTCCTTGCCCTCCCCTCCTGCCCCAGCCCCTCCCCCCTCGTCCTCCTGCACTGCATCCATCTGAGGAAGATCCTCCACCGCCTCACCCTCGCCCTTCGCCACATCTCCATCACCCCCTCCCTGCAGCCCCGCACCCCCCTCCGCCTCCACCTCTCCCTCCCCACTCCCCTCCCCACCCACACCCCTACCACTCTCGTCCGCCAAGCTGCCACCTGCACCTGCTGTGCTGCTCATCTTCCCACGACCGGCGCCAGCGCCGCCGCCGCTGCTGCCGCTGCTACCGCTGCTGGCGGACTCGGCAGAGTGGCCCGGCAGTCCGTGAGCGGCAGGAGTGACGGTGCCCTCATAGCGGTGCGACACTCGCAGCAGCGCACACAGCTCTGTGCTGCCGGCCCCGCCCGGCCACAGCTGGATGGTGCGATGGCTGATGGGGGGATACGGGGCAGGCGGGTGCAGGGACAAGGATGTATGGCATGACGCATGGAGGTGGCCATGCAACACGCAACACACCATGACCTGGATGCCTCACATGAGACCTGTGAGAACTGGTACGAGTCTGCAAAAAACATCTACCCACAATGCAGCACAGTAGCGAATGCACCTGACGTGGGCATGGGAGGGCGCACGGGGGCATGGGGGGGCGCACCTGGGCATGCAAGTAACGGAGGGGAGGATGTGAGCGCCACAGGGCACGAGAGTGTCGGTGTGGTCGGGCAGCACCTCCAGCACGGCGCCCTCCCTCACAAACACCGCCGCCTCCTCCAACGCCACCGCCACCCCCTCCACCTGCCCTCCGCTGTACCGCCGGCCCGAGAACAGATGGCGCCAGTGCGGCGTGGATGCTGGGAAGAACACCTGCGAGGGCCGTGGCATGCGGGTGCGGTGTGAGGGTGTGGCGTGAGGGTGTGGCGTGGGGTGCGGTGAGGAGTGGTGGGTATGCACACAGGGAACGGGGGGAGGGAGAGGGCAAGAGCATACAGGGATGCATCAAGATGGAGAAGCAGCACAGGCACTTGCACGCACTGAGTGCACTTGCACGCACTGAGTGCACTTGCACGCACTGAGTGCACTTGCACGCACTGAGTGCACTTGCACGCACTGAGTGCACTTGCACGCACTGGGTGCACTTGCATGCACTGGGTGCACTTGCATGCACTGAGTGACTACTGGGGCGGAGAAGCAAGAGATGAGGGCAGAGAGAGGCGCACGTGCAAGTGGTCAGTCTCATTGACGACGGGTGCCACCAGCAGGTCGGGCCCCAGCAGGTACTGCCCCTCCCACCGCCCTTGCTCCGCGCCCTCATCCCCCTGCGCGCACAGCGCCATGGGGCACATCACAGGCCGCCCCTCCGTGCTTGCGAGCCGTGCAGCGCGCAGCAGGTAGGGCGCGAGGGCGGTGTGCAGGCGGGCAAAGCGGCGGTAGATGCGCAGCGTGATTGCGTCGTAGTCCCACGGGCCGTTGTTGGCCTGCCCGAACTGATGCATCAGCGGGGACAGCGCGCTGAGGGGGGGAGGGGGGAGGGGGGGTGGGGGGGGGAAGGAGGAGGAGAAGACAAAACTTCGACTTTTGAGTGAATGCATGAAGAGGGAAATCGCTCTGGTTGGTGGGGCGAAGATGGGCAAAACAGAAGTATGGGGAGGCCTTCTGGGGCAAACAGAGGAGGAGAGGAAGAGAAGAAAAGAAAGAGGAAATGTCATGTTTAAAGAGGTGAGTATGATGTGGTGCATGCATGCATGGATGGACGTGTCATGGATGGACGTGTCATGGATGGACGTGTCATGGAAGACACCGATGATGAGAGGCAATGACAGCACGCGTGCATGCAGGTCCACGTGGTGGTGGCACATCACTGCAGCGCCACGTGGTGGTCACACATCACTGCAGCGCCACATGGTGGTCACACATCACTGCAGCGCCACATGGTGGTCACACATCACTGCAGCGCCACGTGGTGGTCACACATCACTGCAGCGCCACATGGTGGTCACACATCACTGCAGCGCCACGTGGTGGTCACACATCACTGCAGCGCCACGTGGTGGTCACACATCACTGCAGCGCCACATGGTGGTCACACATCACTGCAGCGCCACGTGGTGGTCACACATCACTGCAGCGCCACGTGGTGGTCACACATCACTGCAGCGCCACGTGCTGGTCACACATCACTGCAGCGCCACGTGGTGGTCACACATCACTGCAGCGCCACGTGGTGGTCACACATCACTGCAGCGCCACGTGGTGGTCACACATCACTGCAGCGCCACATGGTGGTCACACATCACTGCAGCGCTACATGGTGGTCACACATCACTGCAGCGCCACATGGTGGTCACACATCACTGCAGCGCCACGTGGTGGTCACACATCACTGCAGCGCCACGTGGTGGTCACACATCACTGCAGCGCCACATGGTGGTCACACATCACTGCAGCGCCACATGGTGGTCACACATCACTGCAGCGCCACATGGTGGTCACACATCACTGCAGCGCCACATGGTGGTCACACATCACTGCAGCGCCACGTGGTGGTCACACATCACTGCAGCGCCACATGGTGGTCACACATCACTGCAGCGCCACATGGTGGTCACACATCACTGCAGCACCACATGGTGGTCACACATCACTGCAGCGCCACGTGGTGGTCACACATCACTGCAGCGCCACATGGTGGTCACACATCACTGCAGCGCTACATGGTGGTCACACATCACTGCAGCGCCACATGGTGGTCACACATCACTGCAGCGCCACGTGGTGGTCACACATCACTGCAGCGCCACATGGTGGTCACACATCACTGCAGTGCCACGTGGTGGTCACACATCACTGCAGCGCCACATGGTGGTCACACATCACTGCAGCGCCACGTGGTGGTCACACATCACTGCAGCGCCACATGGTGGTCACACATCACTGCAGCGCTACATGGTGGTCACACATCACTGCAGCGCCACGTGGTGGTCACACATCACTGCAGCGCCACGTGGTGGTCACACATCACTGCAGCGCCACATGGTGGTCACACATCACTGCAGCGCTACGTGGTGGTCACACATCACTGCAGCGCCACATGGTGGTCACACATCACTGCAGCGCCACGTGGTGGTCACACATCACTGCAGCGCCACATGGTGGTCACACATCACTGCAGCGCTACATGGTGGTCACACATCACTGCAGCGCCACGTGGTGGTCACACATCACTGCAGCGCCACATGGTGGTCACACATCACTGCAGCGCTACGTGGTGGTCACACATCACTGCAGCGCCACATGGTGGTCACACATCACTGCAGCGCCACGTGGTGGTCACACATCACTGCAGCGCCACATGGTGGTCACACATCACTGCAGCGCCACATGGTGGTCACACATCACTGCAGCGCCACGTGGTGGTCACACATCACTGCAGCGCCACATGGTGGTCACACATCACTGCAGCGCCACGTGGTGGTCACACATCACTGCAGCGCCACGTGGTGGTCACACATCACTGCAGCGCCACATGGTGGTCACACATCACTGCAGCGCTACATGGTGGTCACACATCACTGCAGCGCTACATGGTGGTCACACATCACTGCAGCGCCACATGGTGGTCACACATCACTGCAGCGCCACGTGGTGGTCACACATCACTGCAGCGCCACATGGTGGTCACACATCACTGCAGCGCTACATGGTGGTCACACATCACTGCAGCGCCACGTGGTGGTCACACATCACTGCAGCGCCACGTGGTGGTCACACATCACTGCAGCGCCACATGGTGGTCACACATCACTGCAGCGCCACATGGTGGTCACACATCACTGCAGCGCTACATGGTGGTCACACATCACTGCAGCGCCACGTGGTGGTCACACATCACTGCAGCGCCACATGGTGGTCACACATCACTGCAGCGCTACATGGTGGTCACACATCACTGCAGCGCCACGTGGTGGTCACACATCACTGCAGCGCCACGTGGTGGTCACACATCACTGCAGCGCCACATGGTGGTCACACATCACTGCAGCGCCACATGGTGGTCACACATCACTGCAGCGCTACATGGTGGTCACACATCACTGCAGCGCCATGTGGTGGTCACACATCACTGCAGCGCCACATGGTGGTCACACATCACTGCAGCGCTACATGGTGGTCACACATCACTGCAGCGCCACATGGTGGTCACACATCACTGCAGCGCGCAGCAGCCTTGGATGGGCGGCTTGAGGCAGGCGGCTTGGGGCGTGCGGCTTGGGGCGTGCGGCTTGGGGTGGGCAATGGGAGGAGGCAATGGGAGGAGGCTGACCCGAACTGCGTCCAGCGGATGAAGACGTCGCGCGGGATGGTCTTGCCCAGATAGCCGGCGATGTCGCTGCCCCACAGGTACAGCGCTGAGAGCGCCGCTGTCTGCCCCGCCACCACCACCGATGGCAGCCCGTCCGCGCGCGAGAAGGACGCCCTGTTGTCGCCCGCCCACACGAATGAGCTGCCCCGGGGGGACGGGAGGAGGGAGGAGGGAGCAGAGAGGAGCGAGGAAGGAGCGGGGACAGGACAGTGTATACTGGGCACATGAAGAGGAGTTGGAAAGGGCACGATGGGTGGGAATCGCGTGGTGGTGATGGAATCATCCGGTAGTGTTGCAAGTACCTGGCAGTGTGGAAATCACCTGGCAGTGTGGTAATCACCTGGCAGTGTGGGAATCACCTGGCAGGGTGGGAATCTCCTGGCAGGGTGGGAATCACCTGGCAGGGTGGGAATCACCTGGCAGTGTGGGAATCACCTGGCAGTGTGGGAATCACCTGGCAGGGTGGGAATCACCTGGCAGGGTGGGAATCACCTGGCAGGGTGGGAATCACCTGGCAGTGTGGGAATCACCTGGCAGTGTGGGAATCACCTGGCAGTGTCGGAATCACCTGGCAGTGTGGGAATCACCTGGCAGGGTGGGGAGGGAATCACCTGGCGGTGCCAGTGAAGGCAGAGCGGGCGAGCACAACGCCCTGGGTGGGCCCCACGCTGTCGTTGATGAAGCGCTGCATGCTGCCCAGGTACAGGTGCACGTACTGGCATGGAGAGGCAGTGACACACACGAGCAGGGAGCTGGGTACAGCTGCACGTACTGCCATCGAGAGGCAGTGACACACACGAGCAGGGAGCTGGGTACAGCTGCACGTACTGCCACGGCCACCACGGGGGGCGACGATGTGGGATCACATCTAAGGCTAGGTAAGGCAAGGTAGCGAGTGAAGGCATGGTGGGCTGGTTCAGGGGCACGTAGTGCCATAAGGAGGACAGCGCGCGGGGAAGGCGGCAAGGTAGCGAGTGAAGGCACATGGAGACAAAGGGCGCACGTGGCAGGCTGGGTAGTGAGGGGCGGTTTGAAAGAGCAGAGGGCGGTGCGGCAGAGGGCGAGGGTGGCATCATGGAGGGCGAGGGTGGCATCATGGAGGGCGAGGGTGGCATCATGGAGGGCGAGGGTGGCATCATGGAGGGCGAGGGTGGCATCATGGAGGGCGAGGGTGGCATCATGGAGGGCGAGGGTGGCATCATGGAGGGCGAGGGTGGCATCATGGAGGGCGAGGGTGGCATCATGGAGGGCGAGGGTGGCATCATGGAGGGCGAGGGTGGCATCATGGAGGGCGAGGGTGGCATCATGGAGGGCGAGGGTGGCATCATGGAGGGCGAGGGTGGCATCATGGAGGGCGAGGGTGGCATCATGGAGGGCGAGGGTGGCATCATGGAGGGCGAGGGTGGCATCATGGAGGGCGAGGGTGGCATCATGGAGGGCGAGGGTGGCATCATGGAGGGCGAGGGTGGCATCATGGAGGGCGAGGGTGGCATCATGGAGGGCGAGGGTGGCATCATGGAGGGCGAGGGTGGCATCATGGAGGGCGAGGGTGGCATCATGGAGGGCGAGGGTGGCATCATGGAGGGCGAGGGTGGCATCATGGAGGGCGAGGGTGGCATCATGGAGGGCGAGGGTGGCATCATGGAGGGCGAGGGTGGCATCATGGAGGGCGAGGGTGGCATCATGGAGGGCGAGGGTGGCATCATGGAGGGCGAGGGTGGCATCATGGAGGGCGAGGGTGGCATCATGGAGGGCGAGGGTGGCATCATGGAGGGCGAGGGTGGCATCATGGAGGGCGAGGGTGGCAGTATGGAGGGGAGATGGAACGATGCATGTGCTTTACTGGACATGCTGTGACGCTGACAGATGCCAATCATGTGCGCACTCAACCATGAAGCACACGGAGCTAACTTTGTTTGAGACACATGAGTGGCAGTGAGTATGAGTGGCAGTGAGTGTGAGTGGCAGCGAGTGTGAGTGGCAGCGAGTGTGAGTGGCAGTGAGTGTGAGTGGCAGTGAGTGTGAGTGGCAGCGAGTGTGAGTGGCAGTGAGTGTGAGTGGCAGCGAGTGTGAGTGGCAGTGAGTATGAGTGGCAGTAAGTGTGAGTGGCAGCGAGTGTGAGTGGCAGCGAGTGTGAGTGGCAGCGAGTGTGAGTGGCAGTGAGTGTGAGTGGCAGTGAGTGGCAGTGAGTGGCAGTGAGTGTGAGTGGCAGCGAGTGTGAGTGGCAGTGAGTGGCAGTGAGTGGCAGTGAGTGTGAGTGGCAGTGAGTGTGAGCGGCAGTGAGTGTGAGTGGCAGCGAGTGTGAGCGGCAGTGAGTGTGAGCGGCAGTGAGTGGAAGTGAGTGGCAGCACGAGAGGAGAAGGCGGTGAGGGCAGAACTTGCTTAGACGGGCAGAGGAAGGGGAGTGGAAACGATGCAGAGGATGTGACAGACATCACAACGGTTGCAGGGACGCAAGCGAAGCAGGCAGCAGGTGGGGCTCACTTTGTTGCGCATGAGGGGGAGTGGCGTGCCGTCATGGAACACGGCACCCGCCTCAAAGTACCCGCCCTCGCCGTCGTCCGCCTTCACCCCGCCAAACACCTCCTCCCACTGCAGCATGCGCCCCATCTGCCCGCGCCACCACCGCTCCGCCTCATCGCTGCTGAAGTCCACGCGCGCCCCGCGCCCCTTCCACCAGCGCACGAGCTGCGGGTGCCCCGTGGCGTTGCGCACCAGCAAGGCGCGGCGCGCCGCCTCGTGGAAGTTGGGCGCGGCGGCGGCCGTGATACCCGGCATGTCCACGCGGTTCACCTCGTTCACGAACGGCGTCGCCCAAAACACCACCCGGAAGCTGTGCGGGCAAAGGGGAGCGGGGAGAGGGGGGAGAAGGTATGATGGGAGGGGAGGGGGGAGGGGGGAGGGGGGAGAGGGGAGAGTGGAGATGGGAGAGGGGAGAGGGGAGAGTGGAGAGGGGAGAGGGGAGAGGGGAGAGGGGAGAGGGGAGAGGGGAGAGGGGAGAAGGAAGAAGGGAGCTATTTTGTTTGATTCAACCACTCTTTGAGTTCACTTTTGGATCGCTCACCTGTATCGCGTTCCAACAGGAACGGCAGCACGCACCCGAGGGCATGCAGCTTGGAGAAGAGCGTCTGCGGGTCGGTGAACTGGCGGCGGTTGATGGTGAAGTCGTTGTATGCCGTCTGCCACGGGCTGTCCATCAGTATCACCGACCCCGGTATGCCATGCTGCCGCAGCTTCTCCGCATCCTCCAATACCTGAAGGTGAGACGCGCATGCACGCCCCATGCCCTCCACATGCAATCCCCCATGCAATGTACGCCCATCCCCCATGCAATGCAAGAGACAGGAAAGACAAGAAGGCTGGCATGTGAGCCACTGGGATGCATCACACACCCTCCTCATGCATCACACACCCTCCTCATGCATCACACACCCTCCTCATGCATCACACACCCTCCTCATGCATCACACACCCTCCTCATGCTTCACACACACCACAACCCCTCTCACCCCTCTCCACCTGTCCCTCGAATCCGCCAGCTATTCCCCGCCCGCTGCCCCCCGTGCTTCATGGGCCCCTGCCACACACACCCCTCCCCCCCCCACTCCACCCGCCTTCCCCACCACCTTGTTGCGTGCACAATACATAGCATCCATTCCACGCACACACCTTTGCTCCCAAATGGTTGCACCCGCCTTGTACCCACATACACACGCCACACGCTCAGACACACACCCCACGCACCCCACACATCCCACAAATTCCACACACCCCACGCACGCCACACACCCCACGCACGCCACACACCCCACGCATGCCACACACCCCACGCACGCCACACACGCACCTCCTGGCTGCTGCGGTGCACATCGCGGCCCTTCCAGGGCGCAAAGGCCCAGAGGGGCGGCGGGATGGGGCGCGAGGAGGAGAGGCGTGAGAAGAGCGCGAGCACGTCCAGCAGGCGCGGCCCCGCCATGACCACCACGCGCAGCGACGTGAAGAGCGGGTAGCGCAGCACCTGGGGGTGGGGGGAGGGGGGGTGAGGGGGGGGGGGGGGGGCGCAGGGAGAGGAGGGTGTTGAGGGGCGAATGGAGAGAAAGGAGAGGAGAGAGGGCACGTGAAGGTGTGGAGGTGGCAGCAAGTCAAGGGATGGGAGAGGCAGAGGCGAGGCAAGGGTGGTGTGGCAGGCCACATAGTGGGGAGTTGGGGGACAGTGGGGAGGTGGACATCATGGAGAAAGGTGGCGGACAGAGAGTGGGGAGGAGGAGGGGTGAGAGTATCGCTATCGACAATACGACCACAGAATTGGCAATAAACGGGATGAAAGCATAATTGCTAACAGCCCACACAGCCATCTAGCACATGCACTTTGCTGCAGCGTCGACCATGCAAACAAGCATGAACCATACACCACCATTCATGCACCATGAACCACCATGCGTGCACCATACACCACCATACACCACCATGCACCCCATGCACCACCATGCACCCCATGCAGCACCATGCGCCACCATGCACCACCATGCACCCCATGCACCCCATGCAGCACCATGTGCCACCATGCATGCACCAGGTGGTGGGGGTCGGAGGCGTGGTTGAGCAGGAAGGAGCCCTGGGCGTGCGAGTCCACCCACACGCCCCACCCCGACGTGCTCATCACGAATGGCACCGCCTTGTACGTGCGCTCCGCCTGGAGGAGAGACGCGTGGGGGGACGAGGTGAGGTGAGGTGAGGTGAGGTGAGGGATGGCGGCAAGGCAAGGTGCGCGACGACGATAATGGAATCGATCGAGAGGGTGGAGAGGACGGGCCGCACGAGAGAGAGAGAAGTTCGCCCTGCCTCTTCAAGTCGGGGTCCCACCTGGTCCCACCTGGCCCCACCTGGTTGCCTGAGGGCGTGTCTCGGCTGGCCATGGGCAGCACACTTCCCTTCTGGTTCACCGCGTTGAACCGCTCTCCACCACCGTACCACCCAACAGGGCTGTCCTGGATCTGCAAAGGGCAAGAAGGGGCGGAATGGGCGGGAAGGCGAGTGAGAACTGCGTGTGTGACAGCTGGGGGAGGGGCAGCGGCGGTCGGTGGGTGACAGGGGAAGGCCCCCTCTCTCACCTTCACCCCTCTCTCACCTTCACCCCTCTCTCACCTTCACCCCTCTCTCACCTTCACCCCTCTCTCACCTTCACCCCTCTCTCACCTGCACCCCTCTCTCACCTTCACCCCTCTCTCACCTTCACCCCTCTCTCACCTGCACCCCTCTCTCACCTTCACCCCTCTCTCACCTTCACCCCTCTCTCACCTTCACCCCTCTCTCACCTGCACCCCTCTCTCACCTTCACCCCTCTCTCACCTTCACCCCTCTCTCACCTTCACCCCTCTCTCACCTTCACCCCTCTCTCACCTTCACCCCTCTCTCACCTGCACCCCTCTCTCACCTTCACCCCTCTCTCACCTTCACCCCTCTCTCACCTTCACCCCTCTCTCACCTTCACCCCTCTCTCACCTTCACCCCTCTCTCACCTTCACCCCTCTCTCACCTTCACCCCTCTCTCACCTTCACCCCTCTCTCACCTTCACCCCACTCTCACCTTCACCCCACTCTCACCTTCACCCCTCTCTCACCTTCACCCCTCTCTCACCTTCACCCCTCTCTCACCTGCACCCCACTCTCACCTTCACCCCACTTTCACCTTCACCCCTCTCTCACCTTCACCCCTCTCTCACCTTCACCCCTCTCTCACCTGCACCCCTCTCTCACCTTCACCCCTCTCTCACCTTCACCCCTCTCTCACCTTCACCCCTCTCTCACCTGCACCCCTCTCTCACCTTCACCCCTCTCTCACCTGCACCCCTCTCTCACCTTCACCCCTCTCTCACCTTCACCCCTCTCTCACCTTCACCCCTCTCTCACCTTCACCCCTCTCTCACCTTCAGCTCCAGGTGCAGCGGCGCTTCAAAGGGGCGCTGTGCACGCCGTGCTGCTGCTGGCTGGCGCATGTTGGACGCATGCACGGGCAGGGGTGGTGGAATGCACGGGCAGGGGTGGTGGAATGCACGGGCAGGGGTGGTGGAATGCACGGGCAGGGGTGGGCGAACGGGAGGGCAGGGGGGGATGAGAGGGGGGAGACGAAGTGTGACCACGTGGTGCGCGGACAGGTAGGAGTGCACACAGGGGCGTGGAGCGCACACAGGGGCGTGGAGCGCACACAGGGGCGTGGAGCGCACACAGGGGCGTGGAGCGCACACAGGGGCGTGGAGTGCACACAGGGGCGTGGAGTGCAGGCAGCGATCACAGCGCATGGGGGCACATGGCAGCACATGGCAGCACATGGCAGCACATGGCAGCACATGGCAGCACAAGACAGCGCAAGGCAGCGCAAGGCAGCACATGGCAGCACATGGCAGCACATGGCAGCACATGGCAGCACATGGCAGCACATGGCAGCACATGGCAGCGCACGACAGCGCAAGGCAGCGCAAGGCAGCCCATGGCAGCACATGGCAGCACATGGCAGCACATGGCAGCACATGGCAGCACATGGCAGCACACGGCAGCACATGGCAGCACATGGCAGCACATGGCAGCACATGGCAGCACATGGCAGCACATGGCAGCACATGGCAGCACACGACAGCGCAAGGCAGCGCAAGGCAGCCCATGGCAGCACATGGCAGCACATGGCAGCACATGGCAGCACATGGCAGCACATGGCAGCACACGGCAGCACATGGCAGCACATGGCAGCACATGGCAGCACATGGCAGCACATGGCAGCACATGGCAGCACATGGCAGCACACGACAGCGCAAGGCAGCGCAAGGCAGCACATGGCAGCACATGGCAGCACATGGCAGCACATGGCAGCACATGGCAGCACACGGCAGCACATGGCAGCACATGGCAGCACACGGCAGCACATGGCAGCACATGGCAGCACATGGCAGCACATGGCAGCACACGGCAGCACATGGCAGCACATGGCAGCACATGGCAGCGCAAGGCAAGACGTACGAGGTTGGGCGCCACGGTCCACGTGACAGCGATGGCGCGTGCACTCAGCACCTCCGCACTCACTCCCACCCGCACCTCCACCTCCTCGCCCCCTTCCCTCTCCCCGTCGCTCTCCACCCTCTCCTCCGCAGCCCCACCGTTCCCTGCGCCCACCAGGCAGGCACGGTGTGCAGCACACACACGGGGCCAGAGGGAGGAGGGATGAGGGCATGCAGGAGGGGGGTGGCGGCACGCAGGAGAGGGGTGAGCGAACGTGTGTGGGCGAGAGGGGAATGACAAGGATGGAGAGGGAAGGAATGGTGGGGTAGAAGGGAGAAGAGGCGAGGAGAGGGGAGGCAGAGGAAATGCACCACCAACCCATACCTCTCCCTACCCCCGGTTCCCCCTCACCTCTGCCCACTCGCACGTGCCCCCGCCACGTCACACCCTGCGTGCTGCCCTTCCGCACTCCCGCCCCACCACCACTACCACCACCACTACCAGCAGCAGCAGCAGCGGCCTCCGCCTGGAAGGCTGACAGCGGGCGGCCCTGCAGCACGGGCGGCAGCAGCGGCAGCAGCAGGGGTGGCACGGCGGTGAGGCGGGTGGGCGGGTGGGCGGGCATGGCAACGCGGGAGGGGGAGAAGGCGAGCAGCAGGCGCGCGGAGGGGGCGTGCAGGCGCACTGCCATGCGCCGCGTGCCCGCCAGCAGCACTGGGTGGCTCACGCTGCTGCTGTTGCCCCCCCACTGCTGCCCCTCCCATGCGCCGCCGCCGCCGCTGCTGGTGCTGGTGGTGCTACCGCCCTCTGCTGCCCCATCCTCCTCACCCCTTTCTTCATCCTCCTCCTCCCCCCGTCCCTGCTGCCCCGCCTCCCCTCCCCGCTCTTCCCCTTCCGTCTCCGCCGCTTCTCTCCCTTCCGCCTTAAACAACTTCCCGCTCCCCCCTCCACCCTGTCTCTCCCCCCGCCCCGCCTGCTGTTCCCTCCCGCCCTCCGCCCCTCTCTCCTCCGCGCCCCCCCTCCCCGCGCCCACCTCCGCGTCCTCCGCCACCTCCAGCGCCGACGACGCAGCGCCCTCGCGCTCGCCCTCCCCCTCCGCGCCCCCCTCCCCAGCGCCGTCCCCCTCCACGGCGCGCGTCTCGTCCAGCGCGCGCTGCACCACCTTCGCCTCGCGCCCGCCGCCCTTGAGGTCCACCAGCGCGCGCTCCTCCATCTCCCCCTCCTCCTCCCACTTCCGCTCCCCCTCCTCCTCCGCCTCCCCCCCGAACTCCCCCAGCAGGTTCCCCCCGCCCTGCGCCTTCGCCTCCACCAGGTCCTTCAGCTTCACGCCCGCCGCCTGCGCCATGCCTGCCTTCGCCACGATGCGCCGCACGATATCCCCCCCCGCCAGCGCCGCCCCTCCGCCGCGCGCGCCCTCCGCGTCCGCCAGCGCGCCGTCCCCCGGCAGCAGGTCGCGGTCGCCGGGGCCCTCCAGGGAGATCACGCTGCGGCTCTTCCGCCGAGCCACATCTTTAGGCTTGGGCCGCTCCACCACGAGCCCCCGAACCTGCAGCCTCCCCGCGCTCACCGCCGCCGGGTCCGCGTCGTGCGGGGGCTGGCGGCGGGGGGCGTGCGACCAATGGTAGCAGAGCCAGAGCGTGACTATAGCGAAGGCGCACGCCTGGATGACGTGCGCCGCGCGGATTCCGTATCCCGCCTTGTGCGCGCCGCCGTGCCAGCGGGCTCGCAGCGTGGCGCGCGCGGAATGGTGGTGCGATGAGGACATTTGGGGAGCGCGCTTCTACCGGCCCGAAACCCACGGGTGGATTAACACAAGGACGAGGTGGGCGGTCCGACTGCAGGAAGCGGGAGGGGGCGAAAACGAAGCATGTGTGATAGAAAAGAAAACGGCGCTCGCCCCACCATCTCAGCACACATGGTTGGTTTGAAGGGGGTGCGCGATTGCACTATGTAGGTCAAAGGTAGAAAGTATGAGCGAATGCATGAGCGAATACTAATGTGCGGAAAATCTCAGCCAAAACGGGTCGTCAAGCCTGACGACCTGTTGACGACTTGACGACATGCTGCCCCGGGCAGAAAAAAACTAAAACCCTATCGGATGGCATGCCATCCTAGGGAGGCATCAACCCTAAATCCATGCCTCCCCGTGTTTAGGGTTGATGCCTCCCTGACCGGATGCATGCCCTTCTGGGGTTTATTTTTTTTGCCCGCGGGCAGCGAGCTCCCCCGGGCGGACTCGCTTGTCCGCTGAGATATACTCTTCGAAAACATGCAACGCTTACGCGGTGAGTGCGAGCTAGCTAGTGCTAGGCTGGCATGGAGGATCGGGCTAGTCCCAAAGCGTAGGCCCACTCGGTCGGGCCAGCGGTGCATGGTTTGGTGAAACAGTGCGCGCGAAGTTGGCGAAGCCCCGTTAGCAGTAACGGGCGAACAACGGCTGCTGCTGTGCGCGGTGTTGATGGTCGCGGTAAGAAATGTCGAAAAAAATCCTTACACTAGCCTCCTCCGCTACGCGAGTGCGTGTATATCGCGGAACCCCCGGCTCATGTACACTTGTATGGCAGGGTGGTTTTCAATGCTGGCCAGTGGCACCCAGCTATCTGCAGTTGGCGTGCGGTCCTTCCAGCGAACGAGGAACTCGATCTTCTTGATGCCTGTGGGGTGTCGAATCCGATGGCTCAAAATCTTCTCGGGCTCAATGATCGGCTCCGATGCAGGGCAAGTCATGGATGGCGGGTGGTGACGAGGCAGTTGGCTTGTGGTTGGGATGTAAGGGCAAAGTAGGCTGACGTGGAACGATGGGCTGATGTACCAGTCAGTCGGCAATAGTGAATGGGCAGTAACTGGGGTGATCATGTGGCTGATTTGGAACGGTCCACAGTATCGGGGTCGAAATTTTGGTACGACGGACAGTCTTAAATTCAGCGTGTCGGGCATTACATAGTCCCCTGACTGGTACGTGACTGGGCGGCGGTGGCGGTCAGCATTTATCTTAGCGATGGCATTTGTTTTCTCAATCGCTTCTGCGGCTCTAGTGCGGGCAGCTTGCAGAATCTCGGCAAATTGCTGTGCGCGTGGCGTTGGGTTGTCCGGACTTGGCGTCATGGGCACTGTTGGATCTTGCCCGTAGTTGAGGTAAAACGGGAACTGCTGCGTCGTCGCTGACGTGGCGTTGTTGTAGGCGAACCCGATCAGCAGCAGCTGCTGCTCCCATGTTGTCGGGTCGTTGCACGTGGCACGAATCAACTACTCCATGGTTTGATTCGTCCGCTCCGTCTGACCGTCGGTCTCGGGGTGGCACGACAAGCTGAACTGTAGCCTGGTCCCGAACTGCTCCCACAGGTTCTTCCAGAGTTTGTTGGTAAACTTCGTGTTGCGGTCGCTGATTATCGTGGTTGATATCCTGTGCAGTCGAACGACGGTTGCGATGAACAGACGAGCGGTTTTTTCGGCTGGGATAGATTTCCTGCACGCAGCGAAGTGAGCCATTTTCGTTAGTCTGTCAACGACGACCATAACCGCGTTGTTACCCCCAGGGTTCAAAGGTAACCTCGTGACGAAATCCATGGTAACCTGCTGCCAGGCGCGCTCGGGCGGTGGAATCGGCTGCAACCGACCCACCTTTTTCTTGCGCGAGCTCTTCATCACCTGACACGTAGGACACGAGCCCACGTGGTGTTGTACGTCGGTCAACAGCTTTGGCCAGTAGTAATACCGCTGCAGTTGCTGTCGCGTTTTTTATTCCCCAAAGTGACCTGAGGTAACCCCGTTGTATGCCTCCTGCAGTAGCAGTTCCCTCAGTAGTGAGTACGCGGGTACCCAGATGCGGTTGGTGCCCGTTTTTACGTAATAGACTCCCGTTGGTTCTGCCAGTTGCTGTAAATTTCCGGTCCTGAAAAATGGGTCGGTGCGGTATCCGTGGGTAAATAGGCCTGTTAACAGTGGGTTGGTTTGGGCAAGTAGGATGGCGTGGGGTAGGGCGGTGGGGCGAGTGAGTGCGTCGGCAATATTCGATGCCTCTTTTTTGTACGTGACGGTGTAGTGGAAGTTGGACTCCAAGTAGTCCAACCAGCGGATTTGTCGCGGATTGAGGTTCTGTTGGGCGCGAAGGTACTGTAGTGATCTGTGATCTGTCCGTACTGTCACGTCTGCTCCGGTGAGGTAGCATCGCCATACTTTGAACGCATGCACGATCGCCAGCATCTTGCGGTCGTGTATCGGGTAGTTGCGTTCGGGCGGGTGAAGCTTGCGAGACTCGTACGCAATTGGCTGAAGGCCATTCCCGAAGTCCTACAACGAAAGCTCCCACGGCGATGTCGCTTGCGTCGGTGACCACTTCGAACGACGGTGTGGATCAGCAATCTGCAGTACGGGTGGCGAGCACAAAATTTTCTTGAGGGCCGAGAAGGCAGCTTGCTCTTTTGGCCCCCACGTGTACTCAACCCCCTTCCTCAGCAGGTCAGTCAATGTGGCAGTCAACTTCGCCATGTCGAGGATGAACCGTCGCACGTAGTTGACGAACCCCATAAAACTCTGCAACTCGGTCAAGTTTGACCGGGCGTGCCATGCTTGGATTGTCGCGATCTTCTTCGGGTCTATTTCCACTCCATCGGCTGAAACAATGTGTCCAAAAAAATATAGTCCGTCCTATACAGACTCACACTTAGAGGCCTTAATCAGTAGTCTGTTCTCACTCAGTATTTTAGGCCTATGTCCTGTAGGTGCTGTGCCCTGTCTGGACACGATGACGCACTTATAAAAAAGCGGGCGGAAGGCTTTGTTGATCGTCATTTGGAAGGTTGCAGAAGCGTTGGTTAGACCGAAGGGCATTACCGTGTATTCGAACGATCCGTAGTATGTTCGAAAATATGTTTTTGGGCAGTCGGGTGGGTTGACGCGGATCTGGTAGTAACCTCCTCGAAGGTCAATTTTTGGGAAGACCAGGGCTGTGCGCAGTTGGTCGATCAATTCATCGGCTCGTGGGATGGGGTAACTAGACTTGATGGTAACTCGGTTCAGTGCGCGGTAGTCTATGCACATGCGAAACCCCCCGTCTTTTTTCGGTGTGAACAGTATCGGTTCTGCGAAGGGTGACGAACTCGGGCGAATAATTTATTTCTCGAGCAGGTAATCCAGCTCCTTCCTTAGTTCGTCCAGTTCGGGTTGGGTCAGTCGGAACTGTCGCTGTACTGACGGCTGTGCCCCCGGTTCTAGTTCTATCCTGTGGTCGTGCGGTCGCTGAGGTGGCAGTCCTGTTGGTAAGTCATCCGGAAAAATTCCACTGTACTGCTTCAGTACCCCTGCCAGTCATCCGGTACGTCGGTGAGCAGTTTCTGTAAGTCACTTCCCTTGTCTGCTGCCTCGGCTTCCCAACTGTCAACCACATACACGCCAGCTCCTGTCGCTACGGCGCGTTTCATCGTGATTGCATTGATACGCACCGACGAAGACTCAGGCGAGCCCCAGCGAGGTAAGGCGATGTTGTTACCGTTCACTCGCACGGTGCAGTCACCCATCGTTTAGCGCGGATTGTGTCGTCGCAGCCAATCACAGCCGAGTAAAATGTCCGTTCCGTCGAGGGTTGTTGCGAGCATTTCTTGGCTAAACGTGAAGCTACCCCTGCATTGAATCCGAACTCGGTCCACATGTTCCTGTATCGCCAGTGGCATGCCGTAAACCAGTCTTGCATCAATCTCACGTAAACACCTGTTTAGTGGCAGTTTCAGTTTCCGTGTCGTGGCAGTGTTGATGAGGCTGTTGCTGGCTCCCCCGTCTACGAAGATTTTGACTAAGTTTGCCCCAATCTTCCCACTAAAAAGTATGAGGCTATCTGCCGTGGTACCTCCTTATTCGGCCAGGTGTGGTCGATTGTGTGAACCGGCACAATCCCTCAATGAGGGTCGGTTGGGTCGGGCGAGCGGCGTGACCAGTCAGTAGAGGTCCCGTCTGCTACTGACTCCCTGCGTTTCCCTGCTGCTTGGTCTGTTTCTGCCGCTCAGCTTCCCCATTTTACTTAGCGTTTTTTGGACATTCGCTTTTGTAGTGTCCCGGCCTATTGCACGCAAAGCAGTGCCCTTTGAACGGTGCGGCAGCGGCATTTGCGGCGACATCGCATATCGTGGCATGCTCGTTCGTCCCGCGAGGCCGATGTCCCCAGCTACTGCCGTAGGACCCCGATCTCGGTCGACGAAGCAAATCAACCTTTTCCGCCATAGCGAGAATCTCTTGAAATTCGATGACGTTGCGGAGGTGGATTTCCTAGGCGATTTCGTGCTTCAGGCCGCCGATATAGCGGTCGATGCGCTCCCCATCGTGCCTGTAGCCCACATGCTCACACAGCGCTAGAAACCCGCTGGTGTAGTTCTGGACAGAACCGAGCTGGTGCCAAGTGCGGATTCTCTGACGCGCCGCAATCGAAGCCGCGATTGGCTCGAATCGTGCACGCAGACCTGCGCGCCACACGTCCCATGAGCGATATTGGGGCACCTCCACGAAATACGATGGCGCCCAGGGTCCGGTTTGTCCTTCCCGTGTCGGTAGATTCACGTAGTCTACTGGCTTTGTGACGATGACCCCACCAATCCATGGCGGGTCCTCGCAGCAGCGACACTACATAGCGAATCTTCGCTGAATCCTCCGAGACGTAGTTGTCGTCAAAGAAAGCATTCATCGCAAACACCCATGCCTGAACGGTAGGACCACCCCGTTGACTCGGGTCAGAGCAAGGCGGACGCTGCGGCTTTAGCAAAATCGCCGGTCGGCACC